CTATTCTTATGAAATCCAACAGGTTCTACTCACAGTGAAAGCTCTGGTCAATACTTCTAGGTTGTCATTAAAGTCTGTTTGATTGATTTGATGCCATATATATGTGATTTTATTTCGCATATTTCACGAGTTTTGACTTTTTCTTGTTACCCCATTATTACACAGGGATAAATGATAGTGAAGAATAAATTGACACGTCGAAATTAAAACGTTTTCTTTTTTATTTTGTGCGACGTTTCGATCAGAATACCTTCGTCTTTTTACGTCTTGCGATGTTGCATATTAGTGTTTCCAGTTGTCTTCTGTTTCTTCAACACTTTTACTGAATGTTGTTATAAATAGGCGGACTGAAAATTTTTGTATATATATAAATTTCGCACAGCAGTCCCTAATGAAATTCACATTTAACTTCAGTAGGAATAAACCTATTTTTGGATGGGGAAGGGTCCCCAGTGTGGTATTCTTAAACACACCTCTCCCGTAAGTCTCGCAGGTAACATGAGATTTGTTCAGGAAGTGAATCACACAGTAAATATGAATTTTGAATTTGACTGAGCTTAAATAAGAAAGAGACAGAACGCGTATGATAAAGTGAAAATAAGTCTTAATTTTTCGGGACACAGTTAAAGTGACACGTGCACCGAACAGTCGTAGATCTGTGTAGCTGTTGCTCTGTAGATCTAACTTATATCTAAAATTTTCAAGTTTCAGGCTGAGAGAGCATAGCATTATGTAGAAGATTCTATAATGCCTTCTCATCTCAATGCACATGTGCTGCCACATCACTGATGGTCATTCCCATGGAAAAATAAAGGAGAATTATCACCTTACCTCCCAATGGTGTATCCTAATTTACAGCAATCTTTCCCACGAGAAAGGTAACGTGATACCATAGAGTAATAACCCAGAACAATAGGTAACTATATAAGTATATATGGAAAGGAACTTAGCCACATCCTTTGACTAACGTTCTGTTGTTAAAACTACACACCCAGCTAGGAACGTGAATGAGTACAAAAATCGTTGTTGTAGGTAGGAAATATTAGATATGCGTCTGCTGACCACACCGGTACTTTGAGTAATATAGTTTACGCGTATATAATAAATTACATACTGTTTACAACTGACAAACATTTGCTAATATTTCAATTGTTTGTTCAAGGTCACACTTTTTAGACATTCAGGAAAGGTTTTGACAAATATTACTCATCATATGCGCTATACTGAAACGACTCAGTAGTAGTTACAAATACACTGACCACTTATGATAGGAGAATTTCTCATTAGGTGGGGAATAGAGGCCAAATTAAAAAAAAAAAATACTTGGTATTTCAGTGATGAACATCCCTTCCCAGGTCCGCCATCAGGTAAGGTTTTAACTTTAAGCTAGCAGTTTGTTAATATCTCCCACCTCCATACATAACAGTGAATCACTCAGTTGTTATTGCTGTCTTGACTAGCTACCAGCAACCGTACGTTTTCCTTCCCCCAAAACATTTGTAAACACCTTTCAACCTCTGGAAGTTTCATACATTAATACGTGGATAACATTTTTCTTAAGCCTATATTTCCTATACACAAGTAAAAATTTTAACGACATCAAGGAATCGGCTAGTTGTGAGAGGATAGATATGAGAAATAGTAGAACAGTTATATTTGGGTACCTACAGTTAGATGAGGAAATGCCCCCCGGTGGGATAGCGGTAAGACTAAGCACTTGCAATACTAAAATCCTCGGTTCGATTCCCCGCGGTGGACACAGCAGATAGCACCATGTGACTTTGCTATAAAACAAACAAACAAGATGAGGAAGTATGTCCCCTAGAACTCTGAAAGCTAATGACGCTAAAAACCGGGTTAGGCCTGACATGGCCTGGTAGTTAGGGCACTCGACTCGCAATCTGAGGGTCGCGGGTTCAAAGTCCCGTAACCGAACATGTTCGCCCTTTTTAGCCGTGGGGGCTTTATAATGTGACGGTCAATTCCGCTATTTCTTGGTAAATGAGTAGCACAATAGTTGGCGGTGGGTAGTGTTGACTAGCTGCCTTCCCTCAATTCTATCATTGCTCAATTAGGGACAGCTAACGCAGATAGCTCTCGTGTAGCTTTTCGCGAAATTCAAAACAAGGCAAAACAAACCAAAAACTGGGTTTCGATACCCGTGGTGGACGCAGCACAGAAAACCCATTGTGGAGCTTTGCAATTAACGAACATACAAGTTATGAAAGATTGATATCAAACAGCATGATTCAATGTGTGTGCATATTATTCACATTTCATGCGTGTGATGTCAACCTTAAATATTTTGAACACCGGCTTCTGTTAAAGAAGATCAAGCGAGAGTGTATATACACATACAGTTATATAATGAATGCGTTATTATAAGGAAGATAGTTAAGTTTGAGGGAGGGAGAGTTATGTTATTCAAGTAATCTGTGTGAATGAGGCACTGTGATGGGTGCTTTTAGTCTGGAATATTTCAGTAAAAGCTTCAGTGCTGACATGGTTTAACTGTCGCATGCTCTCACACTTTCATCTTATGTGCACTTAGAATTTAAAGCCCTTACATTTAATGAAGAAGAATAACAGACTTTCAATCTACGTCAGAAGTCGTTCAGTAAGTGTTACTGGTAGTAGCGTCATGGTAACCGGATATAATTGCTCAATAGCGGTTGCTTAAAAATAACCTTTTTAGTGTCGAAGTTCCATTGAAATTATAGTATTATAATTAGTAAGAAGAAATAACAAAAGTTGTGCATGTATTAAATGGGAGTTATATGTCGT